GCGATTTAATATACTTTTGTGACTTGTTCCAAGTGCATATCTCCTTAAAGGACTATTTTCAAATTTCATTCATGAATTTCAATCTTCTTCTCCTTTGCTCGCCTTTTACGAACTTTAGAACTCCAAAGTTGCTTAAATAGGGATATGGATGAAGAATAACAGAAGTAGAAGCGAATGCGGATGCATTGACTCACAATTACTGCTGATTAAAGCTAGAAACGTCTAACATGAATTCTGAAGTATATTTCAAAGTATCCAAAGCGAAACTTAACACGCCTTGCCTATGCAGATTTTGAAAAAGTAATTCGGGTAAAGAGCCAAACATTTTTCTTTCTTCTTTCTTTTAACTTAAAGGGAAAGAAGAGAGTAGCAACCAGTTTGTGTGTTCTTTTAAACCAATTTTCAAGGTCATCATCTTACGGACCGAAAATGTGATTTACGGAACGTGATCCCATATCCGGTATTTTGAATGGTTTCTATCACTTTCACCTGGTTGTGTAGGCATTTTAATTGCAGCTTGAAACTAAAACTCTCTAATGAGCATCGAGCTAATTTTTGGGCTGACCTAACCGTAGCTAACTTTTTGGCCGAATATCAAGCGATTCTTTAATCTTCTTCTTTGATCTATGCTATTTTTTTAAATCAACATTTTGTAAAAATTATAAGATGCTTGCGAGATATTAACCCTTTTTCTCAAAAGAGTTTCAGTGTATTGTTTTAGACGCAAAACTGTTACCTCCCCCTCTCCCCCTTTTTATTCTCTTAGCGCGAACAATCGCTTTTTGTACCCTACACTACTTGCGGCCAAAAAAGCTTAATTGTTAAGGTTTTACAACGAAAACTTCTGCATTATAGTAATTTGACATAAAAATTATGGGGATCAAATTTGAATAACAGGAAATCCATTTCTTCGACACAAATCCATGTCGGATTTCTCATGAATACTAATAATAAGTCCTTCAGAACACTTTTAATGTTTTACAATGAAAGTTGATCCATAATCGCAGAAAAAATTACCAGTGCAGAATTTGAATCACATAGGTAGATAGCTTAGATCTGAACAAACGTAGTGGATATCATGAAAAGCAAGCCCTGGTAAGGAAAGAAAATCTGATTTTGTATTGAAAAATATTAAAATATTAAGGAAGTAAATTGAGTTTGATAAATTCGGGTCATGGTATTTGATCCAATATGCGGGATTGCATGAAAAGTATGCTTTTGCATGAAACCAGTGTATAACTGCATTAGGCGAAGTTGTATCTAGGGTAGGGTATCTAAAGGTCGGCCCAAGTTAAATGTTCTTATTTGTTTATACACATCTGTGGGAGGCAGCGGATGATCGGACTCGGTTTAGCGGTTTCTCTCTTTATGTTAAAATTACGATGATGGTCTTGAAATATTGTTTTAGGACAAGGTCTCCGATAGTTTCTCCGATAGTCTCTTTTCCCTTTCATTAGACTAAAGTTTCTGCGAACGAAGGAATGCTTATAATAAGTCAAAAACTATTGTGTCATGCATATTATATAACATTGTATTCCATCTATTATCTACAAATTTCATCCTTGATGACGCAAGAAAAATTTCTTTACTTCTTTCTCGAAGGTACAGTTCTGAAATTTGCACAGTGCAGGCGTTCAAATTAAGTCTTATCTTTCTTAAACATACTTACAACTTTCCTGAAACATACCAGCAATTTGTTTACACAATTTTACGTCAGAAGTGCGGCATACTAAGGCTTGATAGGATCGGTATTATCAAAGTTATGCGACTCTAAAAAAATCGATTGCGAAAAAACGATTGAGATTTTCTTTCATCTCGTGTCTAAATATGGTTTTTGGGAACGTAGATGGAATAGAAATATACACGATATGGGTACGGTATGATCTAATTCCGACGTACGATATTTATACCGAGTTAAAAGACATTCGGTGGTCTCGGCGTGGAAGCCCTTCATTCAAACTTTTCTCTGTTGCGTTCTACTTGCCGTCGTTTACTTACTTATAGTTGAGTCCATGTTTGATTTTCAATTACAAATTTACAACTTTAAATCGAAGAACTTCGAAATCATAAGAGAAATGGGCGAAAGTTCATAGAGTGTGAGTCTGGATAATATTTTGAATTCTTCAATAATTAAAGTCTCCCGCACGTTAATACACTTTGAGTTATTATTTATTTATTTCTTTGATTATTCTTAATCAGTACTGCGTGTGTGTATGTGTAAAATGGAAATTCTATATTTTGTTTTTCTATTTGTAATAATATTCTTGAATTAATTTAATTTTAATTTATAATTAATATTACATTAATAATTTAGGCAAAATAAAATAAAAAAAAAAATTCCCTTTTTTTATTTTAATAATAAAATTTAATTAGATTCGGTATTGTATTTTTTACTTATTATAAACAAACGTCGAGGTGTTTAGAACTTATTATTAAATTAAAAATTTCCATTATTAAAATTATTAAAAAGAAAAAAAAAAAAAAAATTAATGTGTAAGAAAGACAGCACCATGTCATGCATTCCCGAATTAAAAAAAGAAAAAAAAAACAGAAAAATAAAATTTAAGCATCGATTGTCTTAATAAACTAAGGACTGTAGTACAAATGAAGAGATAATGAGGATAAAGTATTCAATGCAAGAAAAGTATGATCAAAAAAAGTTTTGAAATATTTTGATACAAAATCATTTCAAATTGTTGCACTCTTTATTGAAATATAATATTAAGCGTAGGCAAAATTCACACTCGCTGTGACGATATACACACTAAGGGCGAGAAAAAAAACTAAGTTTATGATGAAAAATGAAAATATGAAAAAACCTATGAAAAAGTTTTAGATAAAGCTTTTACACATATGGATCTCGGTGTGTACATATGTATATGTGTGTGTATGTGTGTATGTTTGTGTATGTGGTTGTGTGTGTGTGTGTATGGATGTCAACGTAAAAGTTGAAATTAAAAAAAAAAAAAAATTTTAAATTAATCTAAATAAATTTAATACCTGTTCTCTTAGAAAAGAGCAATTTCTCGTTTCGATTTTTTCTTTTCCGTAAGAAAACAATGCCAGGTTTTAACGAAGCAATAAAAAAGCAAAAAAATTTAAAAATTTTTTATATAACCATAATAAATAAATGCCTATACGCATATATTGTATTGCCTATGTGTTATCCCCTGGATAAGGGATGTCGGTATATGCAATCCTAAAAGGTTTAAAATTTTTTACGACTTTATTCGATTTTATTCCTTATAAATGCTTTTCACAGAGACTTCAATCTATCCGTCTCTATTACTGTCTCAGTTCGTAGTCAATCGAATGTCAAGTTAAGTCGTCGAAATATTTCATTCTCACTATTAAACCCACTCTGACTCTCTGAAATCTTTTCCTGAACTAAATGACTTTCAGATTGACTTCAGTCCATCCGTCTCTATTACTGTCTCAGTTCGTAGTCAATTGAATGTCAAGTTAAGTCGGCGAAATAATTCATTCTCACTATTAAACCCAGTCAGACTCTCTGAAATCTTTTCCTGAACTGAATGACTTTCAGATTGACTTCAGTCCATCCGTCTCTATTACCTTCTCAGTTCGTAGTCAATCGAATGTCAAGTTAAGTCGGCGAAATATTTCATTCTCACTATTAAATCGACTCTGGCTCTCTGAAATCCCCTCCTGAACTGACGAACGCCTCTACACGTTTGTTTCAAGTCTGTAGGTGCAACAATTTTTTTGTCTGACCGCTTGTCTTCGTTCATTGCCAAAAAAAAAAAGAAAAAAATAATAATTTCAACCAATTTACCCTAAATACTGTAGTTTTTATAAATACAATGACTTCAAATGCACTCACACATTAAAGCATTTTCTTTCTTTTTCGATTTGTATGCACACTCGGAAGTTATTTTACTATCTAGTACTGTGTAGATAAAAAAAAAAATCGCATATAGAATTGATAATAAGTGGATAGGATAATCAACTTTTTCGATAAATGATTGATGTTATGATGTAATGAGGTTATATAAAAAGTGTTAATTTTTTCTAATTTCTATTTTTTTTTTTTTACTGAAATTGGTTAATTATTTTATAGATTTCATTAAGATTATTTTAAAATTGAAACCATTTAAAGTAAAAAAAAAAGGTGAATATTGCTTTTAAAAGCTGGCATTGTATAGGAATAGTAATAATTTTTTATATATATGTTTACATATACATACAAATATATATATATATATATAAATATGTATATATATATTTTTCTATATTTTCTTTTAAAATTTTTTTTTTTTTTTTTTCTTTCTTAACATTGCTATGCTATTTAAAAAAATATTTATTTTTATACCCAACGGCAGCGGTTATTGCATCATTTATTGTCCGTTGATGTCACGAAGCAAGCGAAAACTATTCCGAAAAGTTTGCTATTATTAACAAACTAACGAATTTGATCTCCGAGCAATCATAGATTATAGTTTATATTAGTTATGCTATGGGATAACTAAAATCAATTCAGTTCATTGCCACTTCTCTCTGTGCGTTCAAAATGAAATTAATCACATGTGCACAAAAACTGGCAATCGAAGGTGCCGGTAGACACGCTCCGGTGCTCGAACGAATTCTCGCATTTCTGATAATATGTTTTGCCATAATAATAATAATAATAATAAAATAAAAAAATATTCAATAACTCCTGGTCTAGTTTATAATTAATTTAGCGTAGACTAAGCTTAGTTTACGAACGGGCTCGTGCCACTTAGTAATTGAAAGGGATAAACAAATTGTTTTTTTTTTTTTTTTTTTTTTTCTATGATACCATAATAATGAAGAGGAAGCAAGAAGAATTTAGCCGAAACTAAAATATATTCCTTTTCGTTCATTCACATCATTTAACTAACGCGCCTATTACTACCGTCTATTTCAATCGCTTAAAATCTAATCTAATAATTAATTAAAAAAAAATTATTAGCAAGATATGAATTTTTTTCCCTTTCTTATAATTAGAAAAAAAAAAAAAAAAAGTCTCTCAAGAATTTCTTTTTAAGTACTTTTAGCTAAATATTTTAATTTAGTTAAGAAATTGCCATAAATTATGTTCGTTAACTTTTTAGTATTGTTGGCCATAACGTCCCGACATACCGCTGTCATACAATTTGTTCAACGTATCGTTAGCATTGCCTTGATTGTTATGATGATGACTTGTGCTGCTGCTGCTGCTGCCGCTGTTGCTTTGGCCATAGATCATAGTGTTCGGGCTCCCATAATTGATCGTTGATGGCGGCGAATCATGACGATAAAGATAACGTTCCTTTTTGGTGCGCTTTTGTACGGTATTCCATATGACTATGACTGTTAATTGAGCCAATAAGAAAACGGCACCGGCAATTACAAGACCTGCGCTCCATATCACAGTCAGTCACATCAGTTGTTAAAAAAAAAAAAACAAAAAAACCCAAACAAAATAAATAAAAAGAGAGAGAAAGAAGCTATGAAAAAATGCATTTAATTTATTTGATAATTTGAGGAAGAACAACAACAACGACAACAACAACAAAAACAACATAAACAGCAACCGCTTTATAATTCATCGGAATATTTATGCGCATCCTATGCACATAACTCGAGATGTGTAACCTTAAACACCTGCTGCTGCGCTTCGAAACAAGATATTGAGAGAAATTTTCCCGTAACTCTCTTTTTTTTTCTTGTTTCGTGGCCACCTGCGTGTTTTTGGTTTTGTATTTATTATTATACATAAAATTTACATATATCTATCTACATATCATTATAAACCGATTTAATCAAATAAATAAATTTCACAAGTAAAAGTCTTAAGTACTCATGGTTCATCAAAACATCACTATAACATCAGTATAATGAAAAGATCTTTTCGTAATCAAATAAATGGATTCAAATAGGAAAACAAAAAAAAAAAAAATCATTTTTTTACGCATCTACCACAGTTCATAACTGTTGTGAAACATCCACCTTGCAGACGAATTATTTCTATGATTTTTATTAGTCATAGAAGTGATGATTTTTTTATTCCGTTCTTTCAGACAATTGTCGTTTACATTCACGCAAACAATTTGGCGATGTAATCAATGTTCAGAAGGTGTTCACTTACGTGGCCAAATTTTGAAATTAAAATTCTAGCATTAAGACTAATTGAGTTCGCCTTTAGAACGGAGCCCAGGAATCAGACAAAGAATGCGAAAATGGGCCGATGATTGGATCAATGTCAAACCAATATAGTTTCGTTCGACACGGTATCGTCATGTTACCAAAACGTGGGGGGATGGGAAAAACTTTTTTTCAATAAATGTCTTTTTCAAGTGAAAAATTGACCAAAATTAATGCAAGCATTTATTATGTTCTTGACTTGCGTGAAATTCTGAATCAATTAAGAGCATGTTTGTCCGGCCGTGTCTCTTTATCGCGTGATGAATGAAGGTAAGGAATTCAAATTTGGTAGAAACATTGGAAGTTTCGCCGCGCAGGCAGGGCATTGAAAATGAACTAATTTGTGTAAAGCACCGGCCGGCTCTAAAGCCTAAATTGAAAAGAACTGTGTTCTTCTAAGCAAAAATTTGTGAGTTTTTGCTCGTTACTCACAAATTATGAATAATAAAAGCCTGGAAGCATCCATATTTAATTTACGGAAAACTCTATTACTTATCTGGAAGAATGGAAAAGATAGCCTTTGCCCACAAAAAGTGATGAGCGACAAAATTTTCATCATTTCATCTTTTTGAGGCTTTGTTCTTTCCCTCTTCTAATCAGGCAAACAAGACAGAATATTGAAAATATTATCTGCCTGAAACTGCATTAATTCAACAACACCACAAGGTAGTGGAGTAAGTTTTCCATAACCCATATCATCGATATGGGTATCAAATAAAAGGTCTTTGAGAGTAGAAGGCAACAAACGAAATGTGTTAATTTTAAATTAATAACCGTGAACGTGACGACAAGGTAGATTCATTTTTTCTGAATAACATCATTTAGTGAACTAAAAGGAGGAACGGAGGAACGGAGGAAGATCAATTTTATCCCATTCTAAAACTAAAGATTTAAATGATGGTGGCTACGTGAGACTGGCGAAGCTGGTACAGTCGCGCAACCGCTTAAAAAAATAAAATAGATTTAAAGCTACGAGGGGACCTTATGTCCACTTTACCAAATTTTGTAGGCTTTCCAAAAAATGTAATTTGCGCAGTAACAGATATTTGGATCTTTCGCTATATATGTTACACTGATGTCAATTTAAAAGCTTTAATACTTTTAAATAATTCAAACAGTTGGGAGTTGTTTGGTGATACAGGAGCGCTTTCCTTTTCGTTGAATATTTTAACAGCCCACAGTCAAACATTTAATCAAAGAGCAACACACGCCACAGCGTTTACGAACCTATTAGAATCCAAATTAAAATTTTTTACGCGCTAACGTGAACTTCACAGGCCAGTTTAGCACGTTTAAGAATCAAATCACTTTAGGGTAAACAGTTTCTAGAGCGGACACGGCACAAAAAAAGCAAGTGCTTATAGTAAGCTGATTAATTTAGATATATCCGAAAACAATTAACAATAATCCAAATTGACCATAAGTCAGTCCTAAGCTATGAAAACAGTTGGCGAAAAGTGGAAAGCCTACTAACCCATGTAAAACCTATTCAGGCCAAGAATTGAAACCAAGTGAACAAGTTGAAAATTGAAAGGGAACAAATTGAAAAATTTTGATTTCTTTTTTTAAAAGACTAAAGCACTTTAGGGAAACAGGTTGATATGGTTTATGAGTAACAAGAAATGAGGTGAAGAAAGAAAGTGAACCGAATGGATTGACGTAACGCGGCAACATGAGCAACAGCACGATAACTGGGCGTCGGAATTGATGAAAAAAATTTCATGGCCGAACACCGTTCCAGTTATGTATCACTCAATATTAAGAGAATAAAAAAAAGTGAAATAATATTCAAGTTTTTTTTTTTTTAATACGTTACCACTTGCAATAATTGATTGGGTTATAAAATAAAAGATTTGAATTTCGGTTCTATATGTTTGCAATGGGCTCAGGTGAAGTTCGGTTTCAATTTTGGCCTATACTTGTTATTTGTTTTTTTCTCATATCAATTTTGTTCTTTTAATTTCTTTTATGTGATATTCTATAAAAATAATGCTGTGGGTTGTCGAACGGTTCATTCTTCCAGCCATATTGACCGTTTCTTTTTCTTTTTATGCCTCTGTTTATATATATATATGTATATATATTTTAATGCTTTTATTTGCCTTTTTCTTTTTATTGTTATTATTATATTGCGAATCTTGTTAGTGTTGTTCGCGGCTTAGTCGATACTTATTATGGTCTGGTGGATAAATTTATTTGCTTTTGCTTTTGCGTTTTTGTTTTTTTTTTCTTTTATTTCTTTAGGAGACCGATCAAGTTCAATGTGACGTTTGTCCCAGTATTGGTTCGAGTTTTATATGGTTATTGGACTGTTGTTGTTGTTGTTGTTTTAATGTATATTTGATGACTATGATAAACGTCAATATAACTGATATTGGTCACTTAAGGTTGTCAAGTATGTGCTTGTATGTACTTCACTATATGTATTGAGACGGCAGTAATAGTCGTGGTAGTAGTAGTAGTAGTAGTAGTAGTAGGTAGGCCGGTTCGTTTCTCGTTTTCTTTAACAATATTGTTGTTATTATTCTTCGACATTTAATTTTTTATTTGATTTGCTCCAAAAACCGTACAGTTAGTTAAGGTATGTTGTTGTTGTTGTTGTTGTTGTGTTAAGACTTTCACCAAAATAAAAATATTTCTAAAATATTTTTGTTAAGTTTTATTATAGTCGGTGTTCTTAAAACCTACATAAAAAGTGATTTTTCTTTTATGCTGTTTATGCTTCTTTTTTTTTTTTCATTACTTTTTTACTCAATTATGCATTTCCTACTCATAGAGTATAATTATTCATCATTAGCCCTTCTTGCCGCCTAAACATTAACACTGACTGTAGTGTCATATATAATCGTTTGCACTTTTATGGGGAAAAATCGTAAATCGTAAATTCATCTTCATGTAATATTTCTCTCGTTGTGCGTTATACGTTTCTATTGCTTTTTCTATTTGCTTTTTCTATTTGCTTTTTTTTTTTTTTGGTTTATTTTTCTCTTACGAACGAGATGACATCATCAATTTTTCGATTACATGGTTTATTACCATTTGGCTTTCAGAACCTATTCACAAACACCTTTGCTATTAGTTATGTATGCCACTTACCGTAACCGTTGAGGCAAGTGAATGTCTCATCACTGAGGCTGGTGTAAATCTTTTCACGATTTTCGGTAGAATTCAAAGAATTGGCCGCATCTTGATTGAAACCGAATTTATCGGTGATTTGTATCGATTGAACTAATAAAATATTATCATCGGCTGACTTTGGACTTACGTCACGCTGTTGGCGATGGTGTTGGTGTGAAAATGAGGAAACCATAAATCCAGCTAGACATCGAATGACGGAACAAATAAAAGCACAAAACAAAATAATAAGCATATGATAAACAAATATATGAACAAGATGATGTATAAAACACAGCAACAAAAACAAAAGCATAAATAAATGAAAACAAAGTGGGAAAATCAATCTTACGCTATTTTATATAATAAGTAATCTAAAAAGTATTGAGCCGTATATTGTAATGTGCAATGTTTGCGTATCTAAGTAAATCAATTGATTTGAATTTTTTTTTTTTTTTTTTATCAACGCCCAATACTTTTTATGATTCTATAAAAAAAGGAATTTGAAAACATCTTGAACTACAACCTTATATAACAAGTAGTTTATAAAGTGCTAATCCTTATAACATATGTAAATGTGTTCAATTGGAAGTCCAAAAACTTTTTTCAGCCCATCAATGTCTTCTATATATACATACCTCGCTCCGTGTTATTGGCCATTATAGAACGTCGTCGGCGACCATACGAAATCAACGATTTTACTTCACCACTGACACTGTCTTCATTGTCGCACATAACCGGTTCACAACGTGGTATACAGGGTGTTACCAAAGCTCTGAACTGTACAACTTCCGATGACGGAAATTTGAAGGCATCAAATTGCGATACCAAAACTTTACGATCTTCTGTATACTTTTGCACTGCACCCATAATATATTGGTCGGTGGGACAACCGTGAGCATCAATTAGTGTAATTTCGGCATTATCTGTACCATCTAGGGCGACCAATTCACGTACGAATATCTCATAGGGACTATTAGGATCAACAATTTCAAAGCGTAAAGCCAATGGATCACCCACTTCGGCTATGCGTTTCATATCGCTGCCGTCGCGTGACGTAATTTTCATTACAACATTCGGCGAATCGATTATAATTTCTTCACTTAGAGACGATTCAATTTCCCCGGTCACGCCTAAGTCTACATCGTTCGATACAGTTTTATTTGTTAAATCGTACTGACACGACACTGCTAAACCCAAATCCGATGACGTAACGATCATATCATGATGTTGAATAACAATATCATTCATGTAACGACCGTAAGCGCTTTGCCGTACATTGCATTCCAAATCATTATACCCCATACGAAAATCAAATTCCAAAGAACTATTAACATTTACCGAACAAGATTTCGGTGCACCTTTAGCGTACACTTTACCATCAAACAATTTCGAGGTGCGTATTTTGGTAATCATTTCACCCGATTTGCATTCAATTGAAACATTATAACACGAGGACAATTCGTAGGTGGCTGCCTCGGGTACATCCAAATAAGGATCCATTACGTCGGTTAGAGTCGAACGTGAATGATGCGATAAACGGCATACCATGTCTCCGGTATCGTTATAATCATAAGAATGACATCTATTACGGGAGTAATACAAAACAATAACAACAACGATAAGAATAATAGAAAATAAAGATTTCCCTTCTTCTTCACATTTTACCTGTAGGGTGAATTTAAGCACAAATCGCGGCATTCTTCAATTGTGTTAATCTCTTGATAAACCGAATCAACTGTTTTTAGAATTTTACCAGAAATTCTTTTAAATTCGCATAATTTACTTGGCTCCTCAGCGCAATTATTTTCCAAATAATCAGCGCCATCGTACAATTCGACATTATTTGAACCCGATAACGTTATACGATCCATATTGGAGAGTTCACACAAACCGGAGTGACGATAATAATTAGCTGATCTGCAGGATGAAAGTAAGAATGCAAATCAAATCTAATTAAAAGAAATTTCAAAAAAGTAAACCGATATTTCAAAGTCCATTGAAAGATCTAAAGAAGTAACAATAATTTTTAAGATCGTGCACAAAAGTCATATATTTCCGGTTATTCTAATAACTCGCTAAACTGTAACTTTTCGCAGGAAATACTTATATAAGCGCCCAAGCTACAGTAAGTTCTAAATTCATATTTAATGTAAATTACACGATGTTTGGAAGAGCTTTTTAATAGATAGACTCTGACGCCATTTCGGTTTTATAAGTATGCAATAATTCGAGAAGTCGATCTTATCGAATTTCAAAGGAGCTGCTTGTAGTTTGCCTAGGTAAGGCGTCGATAACTTCCTACAGAATAAGTGCAAGACTCTCTCCTTGAATTACAGATATTTTCTATCATCTTTATGAGCTATGTATGCGCACATTACATGGAGCTTATTATAAATTATATAATATATTAACAATTGGTATATATAAAGTGTTGCACTCACGTACTGCATCCGTGTACCTCTTAGACACGTTTTATTTATAAGGCGTAAATGTGATGTTCATTTATATAATAATATTGTTGCTTGTTTATTTCGTTATTGTTAGGTTGACCGAACTATTATTAGCATCTGATTGAAGTCTCACGTTATTCGTCCTATTAGTTTATAAATTTACTCGTCTTTCGCAATAATTATGAGAAATTGCTCTCAGTTAATTTTCAAAGTGAATAAATTTATTGAAATGTTGTGGAGATGCATTGAAAACGTTATGGTGACGAAGTCGCATCAAAAATTACAAATTGATAAATTGAACAAAGCTTTCAAAGATGTTAGAGAAGCATTTTGGAAGCTTTCGACCTATCCGCTCGTTTCAAAACAATTCATTTTTTTTTGTTTTCTAAAAATAAAGTCAAGTCTGGTCTAATGGCTGAAGGGACGATTTGTATGGGTGATAAAATGTGGTAACGGGACGAAAATTCAGCGCTTGCGAATACGGAAAAGCTCAAGCAGCGAATGATTATCGCTCCTAAAGGTGAACCGAAGCTGAAAAGCCCAAAGCAAGGCAATTGAAAAATCAAAGAATCTGGAGTGATTTCTTCGCTTATCGCTATGTTCGCTTTTCTATCACAATAACGCACTTCCGCACACATACTATCGTAGGGTAGTTCTGCAGTCACTGTAGCAACGTGATTTCTAATAATTGTTTGCGAAAATCGCTTCCAATCAATAAGAGGTACTGAAGAGAATTTGTCGACAACAGTTTTCGACAATTATAAAAGACGGTTTAATTTAGGAGCAAAAAAGCCGATCGACATGCACCTTCTGTCAAATGTTAGCGAGAGTTGTGCCAACCAAGCAAAAAGAGTCAGTGATATTAGGGACATTTGGTTCTATTTTGTTACAAATGCAACTCTGTATAATGCCGGCTTGTTAATCTCAATAGTAAAAAAAAAAAAAAATGACGGCAAAGTAGATCTTACTTAAAGTAAGAACCTGCTTCTTACTTAAAGTAAGAAACTACTTTGCCGTCATTTTTTTTTTAAAGGGGAAAAAAGATGCCGATGGAATGATAGACATGATATATTCATCATAAGACGAGTGTCTATCTGTATTTCCTTTGATTGCTGCCAATCACAAAAGCTAAAATAGCAAATCGATATCTGTCATGTATAATTTTGACTTAGCTACCAATATCAGGTGCGAAAATATGCGATATTTGCTCGCAGTCTCATCTGTAGAATCGAGAAAGTTAAACCTTCAAATATATCAAAACTTGAAATTATTTTTATTAATAAACGCGCTATCAAAATCTAAAAGTTCTCATAAGCTTTTGTTAAAAGCTACCTAAACACTTGTTTCCTCTAAAATTTGCCTAAAAGTCAATGTCAAGTCTTCTTTACATCCATCTTAAGAAGGATATTCTTTGTAAAACTTGCATATATTCTTTCTTTTGCTTTTATGATAATAGCATGTGTGTGTGTGTGTGAACAGCCATTCATTTGCACATGTATACATATCATTGCGTGTGTGATTTACACACATAATAGAATAGCAAAAGGAAAATAAAGAAAAAAAAAAAAAAAGAAGAAGAAGAAGAAGAAGACGAAGAAGAAACTACTTACCTGCATGTAAATTCAGTTTCACCTAAACACAATTCTAGACAATCACGTCGCGAGTAGACGTTCTGGCTAGATTTGACATGATCAACAAGACGATAACCTTGAACGCGATCAATGCACCAGGCCTTCGAGCAAGGACGCACACCCAAACAAGATTTTTGTGCGTAAATTGTAAAAACTGGGAATTGCGATCGGGAAAGTGAACCTGCAACGTAAACGCATATCAAATGAGTGGTTGTTAATAGAGCGAATGCTTGAGAGTGTTTACGCACAATTTAACGGTGCTTGTAGTAAAACATATCTAAATATATATCGATATATATATATATATATATATATATATATATATGTGTGTATATGTATGTATGCAAAAAAAAAAGAAGAAAATATATGTATATGTATATGTATATATATATATATATATATGTATAGTCATAGCCGGTTTATTAACATTTCTAAATGTTGTCGTTTAAACGAATTGTGCAGATATTACAGATAGCAGCACATATACATATCTGACTTACGCACTTGGTATAGTAAGCCATGGTTAAAATTAACAGGCGTTAAGAAATGCCAAGACTACAGATATGATTTTTGTTGTTATTATTATTGTTGTTATTGTTGTTTTTGCTATTTCTGTTTTGCGCAATTTGAGTCCGTCTCTCTTTTGGGTCTGCTGTTCATAATATAGGAGAGGCTGTATGTGAAGTTATAAAAAAAAAATGAAAACTAAAATAACACACACATATCACTGACAGCCTTTGGAGTTTATATATACACACATATATATATATATATATATATATATGAAAAACTAAACATGCATGATGTGTGTATACATAAGTGCGTTAAGGCGTTGGTTGTTGCGGCAATTTTATTATTTTAATGTTACTCTTGTATTTTTGCGTTTCTTAGCCATAAACCTGTTATTAAAACCAGGCCTATGCGAAAAAATTTTTTTTTTCCTTTTTATCAAATTTTTTTTTTTTTGATTGTTGGAGCTTTTAAAAGCAAGAGAATAATAACACAACAAGGACAAATGCAATATATCAGAACATAGAATGTTGCATTCATGTGAATGTCGTTGTTAAATATATTTCTATGTATTGAGGTTTATGTCTGAAAAAAACACAAATCCACAACTGAGAGGCTTGGCTTTATTTTGCCTGTTTTCGAATCGACTGACTGACGACTGGCTGGCTTGCATAAATTCTGTGATTCTTACGTTTTTATACTCGGGCTATTGAAGTTTATTGCATACCGTGTCTTTGCCTTTAAATATAATTTACCTGGCGTTTTGTCAGCTGTTGTTTTAAATAATACGCAGAGTCCAGTTTCATAATTAACGGCACTGCATGATTCGTTAATCTGACAGGCTTCCAAGCAATCAGTCAACATCAATGTGCCAGGCAGAGTATCCAGCATATGCGATGGTGCCGATAATACATAACTGAAAATAAACAAAAAAAAAAAAAAAAAAACGAAGATAAGTTCGAAAATCTCTTTTATTTTCTCATTGTTAAAAACGTTGTTATTAACCATTTTTTTTTTTTTTTTTTTTTTTAAATAATAATAAAACAAAAACAAAAAACTAGTTTCAATTTTTAAGTGTGGTTTTCCATGCGCACGGTGTTAAAGGCTTTCATTAACATTTTTTCTCTTTTATGGAGATTCTTAAAATAACCAAAAATTTACAACAACAACAACAACAACAGCAGCAGCAGTAATAGTAACGATAATGGAAAATAAAGAAAAATAATTTTGGTTAAATGTGTGAAAGTTTTCCTTTGCATAGCCTAAGCCTATCGGGCATGTAACCAGTTCTTCTTATAAGCACAAGAAAACGAATGTAGGCCAGTATTGTGTGAACATTACGACCGGAGGAAATGTTTCTCGCAAATGCCTATTAATGAAGAGTTCAAAAGATGTTATAATAAAATTTTAAAAGTAAAACTATGCTTACACTGCTCACCGCAGAATGAATGCGTGCTAGTTTGATCATTCCATTGGCAATATAGAGAGAATAGAGATACGCCGTTCAAAGCGTTCATAAAATTTACTGAAGAGTGTCTAATAAGTTTACTACTTTGCTTGGCTAACTGGCCTGACACACTAAACGGAGATGCATCTGCAAAATTTCAAAAATATTCTATTTTGACATAAATTCCCCTTTGCCGCTTTCCTCTCGCTCTTGGATGAATTTTTGCGTTCCTTACCATGCAATCGCAAATCTAGACGTGACAACTTCACTATGAGTTAGCACACGCATGCTTGATTTCGTACTTATCGCAAAACTTTAAATACAATTTTTTTTACTATTGATATGCTTTTGATACAATCGAGAGACGCATGCGCATACATTAATTTCTTAGGTAAAATTATGAAAGAAAAAGTGTTTGTATGTACGTACACACGTTAGCGACAATCGAAAATGGCAAAGTTTTTTGTCATTTTTGTGTAATCGAAATAAAAGCAAACGTTTTCGATTCGAGGGGCCACTCGTTGCTCCTTAGCCATTAGCAGACTAAAACGCGATTGCATCTCGAATTTCGACCTTTATCGAGGGGAATTCACACCAATTTTCCCATCTACTCGGGCGATTACAATAAATTGTTAACGATGTAAAAATCGTAAGATTGAATGTAGGTTTAGTAAATTGCAAGGACATGCGCACTGTCTTACGGGCAAGGGTATTTGAATCAAATCGTTTGAGATTCTTAAATAAGTTATAAGAGGAGGATAGAAGGGGAGGAAGAGAGGAAGCAGTTAGTTTAAAAATTTTCCAACTTTCCTACCTTTGTAGATACAAATCTAACGGTATACCTCGAGACTACAACTACTTTCAGACTAGGACGAGATTAACTGAGAATGAGAGGAAATCCACGATTGACTCCAAATTTCCTTCCTCTGTGCTTTAAAGGAGTCTAGCATGTAAAACAATAGAAACAAAGATAGAGCGAAGGGAATTCTTCATCCTTCTAAAAGTTCTGTTATTGATTTGGAGAAAACATAACAACTACGGTGATAACGCACAAGAATTGATGGAATAAGTCGATCGAGTTATTTAAAAAATTTCGTAAACTGTTCTAGCTTTTTTTCTCCCTATTTAAGGATGTTTATAAGTGGACCAAGGCTATTTTAAAATGTCATCTGCCAACCTCAGTGGACGCAACATATATACAAAGTTTTTAATTCCTGCATAAATATTTGCCAGCATAAGAGTTTAGCTAACGAGGGGGCAGGTGAACTAATTCACTCAGGATCTTTGCCAACCAAAAGCTTACATAAAATTATGACAGAAGTAATTCCTTGTCGACGATTTTCAGCTGCTTTTTGTTATTACCTTTAAGTGTAATATTTTGACTATAATCTTTGGGTAAATGCTTAGAGACACCAGGGATCTTCCCGATCTGAACTCTCGTTGTTTTCTTATAAATTAGACAATACCTAAAGTCATACTACGTTGTTTAGCATTTCTCTGACAGCCATCAATAGTGAAAGTTTCCAATGAATATGAATTGATGTCCGAATAGCTTCCTTACGCACCCCGTTTTTGCTTTCCGCACTTAAAAGATTTGTCAACAATATGCTGTTCAAGGTTGATGACAATTTTGAGGAGATCAACTCGTCCCACCACACATAGGTGTTCTAAACTATTGAATACTGCAGTGAAAGTTTACAGGCAGACTATATTGATAATGTTGTTCAATACAAAGTTGTTCAATTTGTGGATTCAAAATTAGGCGTAAATAAAGTACACATCAGACGAAGCATTGAATGGAATTTTTTGGACTTTGGCATTATATGTTGAATATATCACTAATCAATCGTGGCATCTTACAGGATTGGATCCTTTTGAAGTAATTTTCGTTGACTTGTCGGCATAAAGTGAGCAATAGGTTGCCCTTAACTTAACGGATGTTCGTTTTCAAATCGTCAATAGTTTGGTGCGTTGTTCGCATAAACTCGATAACCAAAAAAAAAAAAAAAATTCGAGCGATGAGGAATCGCACGATCTTGACGGCACGATCTTCACGTCACCTTTCTTGTGCAACAATGCCATACGGTGGCTTGCGGCACCGTCCTGCTCGAACTACTTGTCTTCAACTGTGATCTTCAAGTTGAACATTTTTTTGCACTTTGCCTGCTACGTTGTCTATACTTGTCAGCCTAATCTCGTATATTTAATGCAATGAAATGGAATGCAAACAATACGTTTAGTAGTTCAAACTATATCTTGATTCTTCAATTTATTTATTATTCTCCTTACGGATCAGTGATACTCAGGATTGGAAGAAGTTCAAAAAGTGAAAAAATCTTAGCCGCTGTTGCGAATAACTTATAGTCTATACCTTATGGATTGAATTCGTAGACCAAAATCCCTAAGTTGATGTATACGCCAATAATCTACGATTCATTAGGCGATATGCATAAAATGCCGTGAAATAAATGCCAATCTTAAGTTTTATGGTCTTTGAAAGTTTGCTGCTTGGGGAATGAGGGACGTACAAATTTTTACCTTAAAGCGTAATTCAATGTTTTTTTTTTTTTCTTTTGCACGATTTTTGTTTTTTAAAAGTGTTTTTACTTTTCTTTTTTGTTACCATTGTTATGATTACTATTATTATTATTATTATTATTATTATTAAGGTTTAATTTTATAGGGAACAATAATCGTAAATTTGTGTTTTCTTTCTTTCCATTAGTAAACAATATGTTGGCAAGTAATTCATAGACAACCAGTATTTATCGACGATAGAGTATTTGAAGTATTCAGTGTTACGCTTGACTATACCGGGTAATGTATTAGAGCAAACATTATTTTGCTGACAGAAAACCGCAGAAACCATCTTCAGTAGCAATGGAGAAAAGAACAACTTTCCACATGTAGTTAAAAGTTAAAAACATATGTGCATGCGTCACTTGAGTTCATAGGTTTGTTTAGCTTATTTGTGTATGTATTAATCTATTAAAGTAACAAAAAAAAAAAAAAATAAAAATAAAAGCGTTAAAGCAAAACCATAACATTCCAATAATTTTGTTAGAAAATGAAAGTTCACTCATTAAGTGGTTTTTTTTTTTGCTCGTATAAAGTGATTTTATAAATTTTTGTGGGCGAAATTTATGGTTAGAAATTCATATGGTTAAGATGATGTTGCTTGCATTTATAATAGTGTGTTTACACGTGCGGGTTAGTTTTTTAATTAATTTCTTAAATAAGTGAAAGAATAGGATTGGTAAGCGGAACATAGCTTTCTTTTTTTTTTTTCTTTTTTTTTTTTTTTGCTACGATAATAAAGTGATCAACGTATTCTTTGCATAAGAGAAGCATTCATCCTCAAGTGTTGCACTTTAAACTTTCAAATCATTAATCGAGCGATAAGAACAACAATTGTTTATCCATAACCTAATTTGTAGTTAATAAAAAATTTTACTACTTTGGAATATTTCGCTTGGCGAATGAAGGCAGTGCTGCACGTCAAGCGACGACACTGTGAACACTAATAAAGTAATAAAAGCGCATAACGTAAACTTAGCCGCAGGGATATTTTATTATTTATTATAAATTTTACTGCATTTTACTGCATTTTTGAGGGGTTCGGTTCGTTCATTATTCGAACAGTTAGAGTGGAAAGTGTGAATGTCAATAAATTAATAAAAGAAGTCGTACTATTGGCTGGTGATAGTTGGATGTTAAAGCTTTTCTTGCCAAGCATTTCTTCTTGAGTTGAGTAATGCTTTTTAAGTCATAAATCAAAGAGACGCGATCATCGATGTTAACTACAATCATAAATGCTGTCGAAAGAAGACGACGACTACATTTGAAAATTTGTTAATTTAGCGAATTTCAAATTATCGTCAATTGCTATAAAGATATCATCACGTAAAGACTTCCTGTGGCTGGAAGTTTCCATTCGCATAAAAGCAAATCGCTTTAATAATCTCATTATGTATAGCACAGAAAAAAAAAAGGTTTCTTAGAGTGAGAAAAGAGATTACAATCACAGTTAAATAAATAACTATTGTTTAACCTTTTTGTAGTGACAGAATAATTTTCAGCCGACAGGTTAAGAGCAAAGGGCGAAAAGTTATTTTTTCTCCTCCTTGGTTTTAAATCAAACATAGAATCCTCAGGCATTGTTTAAAAGTGTGATACAAACGTTTGCAAAAAAAACCTCAGAGTAGAATTTTAAATGATCCTAACCTGATGAAATGCTTGTAATATTTATGCGCACCGCTAAAGGGTGAGTAACACTAAACTCGTGGCGGTTCGTTTGCAGTAGTCGGAAATACGCATCAGAGATGCCGTAAAGTACCCTCTTAATATTTGCAGATAGCTTGGAAATATTTGTCTGTCCCTACGTCCACCTATCTTCCATTTTCCATGTTCATCCTCTGTTATTACAAAGATTACTCCCTCCAATGCTTTCTTAAGCGCAACCAAACGCAAAACTGTAATTCAACCATTAAGTACAGATTCACAGAAGTTATTAAAATAAAACTATACGACGAAAGCGTCTCTAGAATTCTCGCTACCCTTGAGTATTGACGTAATGTGGGCTGTGTTGCGCTTATGTACTGGTATATTCAGTGCAACTGTTCTACGAAAAGATATGTCCACCAATCAAATATATCAACAGGGCGACACGCCTTTCTCAGCATTCTCACCCACTCGTCTTAAAGTCGCCGGTATACCGCACAATAGACTTTTTGACCATATTGCCCGCCACCAGAAGTGATTTTTCCCGCCTTGTCCAATGTCACCATTCGAACGTTCATAAGCACTACTCCCTTTCCCCACTCCCCACACTTCCTATTAACCGTCCTGATTACCACATCCTCTGAATGGCTAGTCATGGGTAAAAAAAAATTCGCTTTCGCATGACTAAATATTTTGTTTATTTTACTGCACTTTTCTGTTATTGTATGTGAGATATCGATATCCTGCTATTAACTTTCTTGTTTTATTATTTTTGCAAAATATAAATAAACACACTTACCCAGTTATGATTTCAAAACCAATCATATCCGGATCGCATTCTTCTTCGATCATAGCGCTGCTAGCAGCATTCGTTTCAGACGATAATGCTGATGATGGTTTATCAGTTTTTGTTTCAGCCATCATATCGGCTACGTTTCCGTTACTTTCTATCGGTTTTGGCAATTCACTGTCATTGTTAATCACATTTCCGGACAAATCGTCATCTTCAGCACTAATACTCTGTTGAGCTAATGATGGAGCTGCATTTGTTGTGGTTGTAGATGTAGTAGCAGAACTGCTAGTTATTGAGGCGCCAGTTAGTGAGGAAGACGATAATGAGGCTGCTGGTAATGATGACAATGATGAAGTTGCTTGTTGCGGTGAAGGTGTTGCATTCGTACGCGGATATGTTTTCGCTGGCTTAACAGGACGCTTAGTTTTACGTGCTGCAGCCGCACTTGTGATTATAAGAAAGAGTATTAAATATGAAGAAAATTTACGTAAGAACATATTGAGAGAGAAGCGGGTCTGCGGTTACGAATATAAATAAAATCTGTAATGATAAGAAGACAATAATATATTTAAAAATACATATATTTTTTTTTTTTTAAATAATAAAACCAAATATAGAGATAAAAGAAAATAAAAGGGAATCATTGTAAAATGAATTTTAATTAATAAAAAAAAAAAATTCTTAACAACATATTTTAGTTGCTTATTAAATTTAATGAAAGTAAATGAAATACTGATGTTCTGCTTGTGTTCGTATGTCCGCATGTGTGTGTATATATTTCACTTTACTTGCTTTCAGTCTGCGCTTACGAATCGTATGTTTAACTTTTTGCGATTTATATATAAATGAATTACCTTTTAAGTACAAGAAAGTATTCAGACACCTTAAAAAGAGAGAAAAAAAAAAACAAATACAAGCAACAACAATTTCTTGACAAGCGAAGAAACATAACATGGAACAGGAAAACAGGTAATACTTTCATTAAATATGTAACAACAAGCAACATAAGTGCAACGGTAAAATTGTTATTTAAGGTTTCATCCGTTTCTTCTGTCAGTTTTCTTCCCTCTTTTCCTTTTACTCAACTCAAGACAGCCGACTTATGCTGCTCATTGCCGCTAGAATTATGTTGATGCTTTAAGATATATATATATATATATATATATATATGTAGGTTCATGAATACGGAAAGAATTTATTATGAGATAATTACGCAAAGCAAGCGGCAGCAAAAGCTATAATGAATATCAGATATAGTTAACTTTGATCATTACACGATCGACTCTTCTTTTTTCTAGAACTCTCTAGAACTACCGCATATCGCCTCAAGCTTTTAATCAAAGTCGATGAAGACTCGAGCTCGATTAGCTTAAAAAGAAAATTGTGTGTCATTATATCTTTTATCCAAATCAATATTTAATAGAATGGGACCACGATCTGCTAGCAGGAGCCCATGGTATAAATATATACATACGTAAGGAAATTTTCTTGATAATCAGTTTCCTTATATTAGAAGCCCGACGATCAATCAATAGCAGATGAACTAGAAATAGATGCAAGTCTTGGTCACACATTTATTTAGCATTGACCGAAAAGCACTTTAGTGCCGCAAAGCAAATGTATATAGTTCTGAAATATCCGAAAAATTGGAGGACCAGGAAATGCGATTACAATGAAAATCTATTTATTCAATCAATTCATCAATTGATTCATCAATATTTTCTTGTCGCCATCGCCTGGGAACGGTTTTTCAATATGGAGCGTGGACCACTTCTTGGTTAAATGGCTCCAAAAGATTTTTCAACTCACTCGGCTAAGCGGATCAAGTTAATGACAAAAGCATTTATCACAAGTGATCAATTTTCCACTTTGAGGGAACTGTTAAACTGTTTCCCCATAAACTGTTGTAGACAATCGAGAATTGCTCTGTGATTCTGAGAGAACTTTGAACTTCTTGATCTTGACAAGGCCGCACCAAGGACAATGCCATCTGCAGTGGAAACCTGTTGAGGAGACATGATTGACTGTCCTGGGGCAAATCAATTTCTTTTTCCAAGTAAAGGAGGTATACATGTGCGCAAGAGTTTATCATTAACTTTTGTTCGTAAATGATTCACTCAACCTTCGAGATCCATTAGTTATTATATAACTGTATAAATATATATATATATATATATATAACAACTTGGAAATATTTTTACGACACTGATTTTTCTTCTCAACCTACAGCCTGCGATAAATTAAAAATTGTTTTTGGATTGATCTATTCGTCTATCGCTGGTCTCTGTTATATAGCATATTATTTTTTAAATTTATAGTCGGAACAAAGCAAACACAACAATAGCGATAATTAATAATTTTTTTAATTATATTACAGCGAGAAACTTTGCTTTTGCTTTCGCAAAAAAAAAAAAAACAAAAAAAAAAAAAGAAACAAAAGATTTAGTTAACAATTTTCTTTCTTTTCTTTTGTTCTTTTGCGGGATATAAGAAATAATTATATGTATATGAACTGCGGTATGTCGTATATCAACTTTCTTATATAACAAGACAATGCGCAATTGTAATAAAACAACTTCATGTCATTATCTAATTGCAGTTATGTAAGTCATTGCTGACAATATCTTGGAAAAACCAAAAACTTAATTTATTCTTGGTTTCTTTCCACTTATATTTCCACTTCTTTACCTGTTAACCCATAAAATTAGTCAGGCATTGTCTCTCTGGGAATATTCTGGACGAACAAGCTGCAACATAATTGTCCACTATGATATGCTGCTATTTCTTCATTATGCATTTACAAAGGAAGAACTTACTACTTTTTTTTCCTCGCTCTTTATATATCATAAAGTCATTACATATTTTAATGCTTACCATTCAGGCAAAATGATTGATTGATTGAACCTATTAGCAAACTTATATCCATCCATCGTAATTGGTCTGTGTTGCTTTTAATAACACTTTTTTTTTTTTTTTTTTTTTAGTTATGGAAATAAAAGTCAATATAAAATACGATTAAGTTTCAAGGATTGTTTGTTCCAATGATTTGCGAGATAATAATTTACAATTTCGTTAATTGGCTTTGGTTGTCGTAACACTCGTACATTGTGATTGTCTTCAAATAGGTTTGTTTTACTGCATCTTTCTTTCTTTGCCAGCGCTAAACAGCATATTTCTGACGAAACATCAAAATATCACTGGCGCGAATATTGAAATATTGCAAGTAATCTTCATCAAGAATTTGCGGATAAACTGTACATTTAACCCTAATCATACCTAACCATAACCCTAGTCATACATGTTTTTGTAACGAATAGTACTACCACGTGCTCATTCAGTCGCTTAGCAGAGTTATGCGCGAATATGTAAAATGTTATCCTCTTTGTTTACAGCTTAAAATTCATTCTTATGACTCTCGCGTTTCGATTATGATTAATAATGGCACTGACTACGATGACTTCTCTTGAAAATATTTCAAAGTGATTTCCAAGAAATTGCAATTTAATCGAAATTTAGAAATTTCTGATATGGCGAAAACCTGATCTTCTCTAGTGTGATTTCAGGTTAAATCGCGAAAACATCATCAATTATTGCAATCATCCTCAAGCATCGCACATTTTTTTTATGCGACAAAAACGTGATTTTTTCGGCTTAAATCACGGGAATGTCCGAAATATAACTATAATCAATAGTCTTAGCGAATTGTGCCTCATTAATTTATAGAACACAACAGGGGCTGCTCATTTGGAATGAAATTAGCAAAACTGTTGAACAAAATACAATCACCTGGTCATGTGTCTTCCTGATGTTTTATCACAGCAGTTGGTCATAGAACAGATTCCTATGTGCGGTATCTTTTTGACAGATCTAAGCGGTATAATTACTACATACATTTAACTAGGATAAACAGTCTGATAAACGTAATTCCTTTCTTTAATTTTACCCGGTATTATCGAAGAGGGTCTTACAAGCTCTAAGAAAGTCTACAAATGTCGCTACCACTTCTCGAAGCTTAGTCTTTAGTGTGTTTCCGCTTTCAAATACAATTTCATATTATTAATAGCATGCGATAATCTATGTAATAATATTTGTCGCAATTTATATAATATCAGAAGAGAGGTTAAAGCCTTATACACATTTGCAAATTTAAAGGCAGATTAGCTTACGTGTTAACAAGCGACAATGTAAAGTTTCTCGAATAGAAGCAGCCAAGATTCCTCTTAACTTTGTCTTTAATCTAAAACAGTGTGCATCACTGATAGTTAAATCTGAACTTCAAATGAATTTAGAAAAAAACCCGGAAGTAACACTTGACCTTAGTATTGGGAGTTGATGCAATCCAATGACTGTTATTCACACCCCTCGCATAGTTGTAAGCAAGATCATGATTTCCTGTCAATGCATGTTCATCATGTGATTACCTTCAGCTCATTAAAATAAAAAAAAAAAAAAAAAAAAAAAGAGAAATATTTTTCAATCAACTTCTGTTTCGCTATTCACTACCTATTTCGTGTTCTACGCCTAAATTTACCAATGAACGTAATGATTGCTTATTGACGTAACTGCGCAATAAAATTATTTGAGCAGTTTTTCGGTTACTCAAATGAAATTATTTTCCTTCAGTAAAATGCTGGTGAAAGAAAGTCAGCAACGAAAAAAAAAAAGAAAATAGAAAAAAAACAACGAATTAAACTTTGCATAATCTTTTCAAGCCTAAGGCAAAGTCTGTTGTAAGCGTTTCGTATTCAAAGTCACTTACAGGTGTGCGCGGGCATAAAAGTTTTACTTCGCTTACACACCATACACCATACAACATACAACATACACCATCCAATACAACTCAATTCAAATAAACCTGTTACTCGGTAAATTCTTTTCTAATGTATGCTAACAATAGTTTTTCTTCATTTATCACCTTACGGCAAATGCTGACACACATTTTTTACATTACCGGGAATATTCGCATTTCTTTGCTGCATTATTTTTCTTTGCTATTATTCTTTTATGTAATCGATTGTTGATGTTTTCTTTTTCCTTTTTTTTTTTTTTGCTTTTTTAATCTTCATCCTTATAGCCAGCCGACATATTGTAAGCTTTGTATGGAAATCAATTTACGATTTTGAAAGTTTTATTTGATCATTACAATCGCCAGTCATTACTTTTGCATAATCAATCATAAGCAATTTTCATTGATGACTGGTTAAACTAGATCAAGTTTTATTTTTACATACGTCAGTTTACGTGCAAGTTTAACTAACACACACACACACACACACACACACACTGCATCATCACTACGTCACTACATCATCATCATGATGATATCATTTCATAACGTAACCAATAGATTGCTTGATAGGATAATCGGTTATTGATGTACGGATAAGAAGGGAGGGGCAGGCAGGCAAAGAGATAAAATATATGTGTGGTGAGGGGGAATGAGGAAAAAAGAAAAGAGCAAAAAGGAAAAAACATAAATGATATAATGCTTAAATCAAATGCCCACCCATGCAATTATCTTTACAGGCATGTAATTGTGT